TAGTGCCAAGAGTGTTGATTGTGGAGCTGAGCAAACTAAAGCTATTTATAATCTCAGTCTCTTCACCATCCATCACGTTGCTGCCAATTGGCCTGGGGGTGAGAATCTTTGTTTTTTTGATATTGAGTTTCAATCTGTATTGAAGGCTGCAGTCCTTGACCTTCTGCAGCAAGTGCTTCAGGTCTTCTTCAGTTTTAGCAAGCAGGATTGTGTCATCTGCATAACTCAGATTGTTGATGAGTCTTCCTCCAATCCTGATGCCACATTTTCCCTCATAGTAATATATATTATAAAGTATTTGTTGTATGGGACTGAGTTAGTTCACTTAGCATAATATTCTCTAGTCCCTACCAAGTTAAATAGTGATTTACAGAATGTTTGCCCCTGTGTGCTGCATAATATTTCATCCTGTGAGTGAACCATAATTTCTCAATCCATTTGATTGTGGTTGGTTATTTGGGCTATTTCCATGTACAGGTCTCCATTTATGCCTCAGTTCTCATTTTCTTGGTGTATATTCCAAGGAGTAGAATAGCTGGATCATATGGAATTTCTGTGTTTAGCTTTTGAAGGAAGCACCAAACTGCCTTACAGAGTGGTTGTATCATTGTACAATCCCACCAACAGTGTATAAAAGTTTTCTATCTCACCACATGCTCTCTAATATTTATTACTTGTTGTCCTGTTAAACTTTGCCACTGCTACTGGAGTGAGATGGTATCTTCTTGTAGTTTTGATTTGCATCTCTCTTATTGCCAGTGATTTTGAGGATTTCTTCATGTGTCTGTTGGCCATCCGAATATCCTCATCTGTGAAAAATCTTTCCATGCCTTTTAGGGCACATGTCTTTTAATAAGACAAGGGTTGGTAAATCTATGAGTATGACCCTTCTAAACGATATTTGGTAAAGAAGAGATCCTTTCTTATCAAAGACTATTTTAGGGAAATCTCAAGCACCAAGGCTTATGATTTTAAAATCTTGGCTAAATAATTTTAGTTTCTTTAGTCTAAAACATAAACTGTAAATTAAGTCTGTGATAATAGTAACTTGAAGTTACCTATCTTGGAAATAGTTTAATTCTAACAACAGTTCATCTACCTCTGAGAGTATTCTGTTGTTGAATGTCACTAGTTTCCCCCAAAGAATAAAACTAGCAGATTATTTAAAAAAAAAAATAAAATCAAGGGTAACCCTGAGAGGGTAGAGTCTGCTTAGTCTGCAAGAAAATATATTCCCTTACCAGGTGACAAACAGGAGAGGAGAAAGGTAATCCACTGGTAAATAAAGACTGCAGGGACAGGAGGAGAAAACATTTCCCAGCATGCATTCCGTATTCCCACAGAGGTCTTATTGATGTCACATACTTTACCCCCAGAGCAAAGGCATCCCAGAGGTTTTTTTTCCCTGTTAAAAAAAACAACTATTAGTTATTCTGATACACTGATTGAGCATATGTTATTAAAAGGGTTACCTTCTGTCAATTTATAAGCCAGTTTAAAAATTCCAGTTGGTTAAAAATTTGGACTGAATGCAGAAACCTCCCCAATTCTTTGATTTTGTGTTCTCATTTCTAAATTATGGTTACCCTAGCCTCTTGAGCCCAAGATTGTTACCCTGACCATAGCTTTGCCAAGTGACTCAGTATACATCTTCCTAAATATGGGTTAGCGGACCAGATACTTGAGACTCCAGGGACCAAAAAGTTATGAAATGCCAGATATAGTTGGAAGCTCTGACTCTTCCACAGTCATCAGCTTCAAAGTATGGGATGTTTTACTTTCTCATTTAAGGACAAAGATAGACCTCAATGTGAAAAGCAAACAGAAAATCACAGTCAGGAAGGAAATAATGTTAATAAGATGGACTTCAGCAAAACAAAAAACTTGTGCCAGCAACAGTATTAGAAAATGAAAAGTAATTCTCACAATTCATTACAAGGAACTCATACAATTTGATATCAAAAGGGAACGTTTTAGTTCCACCTCCCCTTTAAGATCTTTTCTGTTTTCCTTTACTATTAAATTGTGAACATTCCTTATATATCTTAGGCACAACAACTCTGTCAGGAAAATATAGTTTGAAACATTTCTTCTCTGTCTGTGACTAGACTTTTTCTTTTCTTCCTGTTTCTTTTCAGTGAGTAGAGGTTGTTATAAGCTGAAAAGATTTTAATTGAGGTCATTGGAGGTTTTACATCTTATTCAAATTGTTCTGTGGTGCAAAATGAGGTAATCAAACAAATACCCATAATATTGGAGATTCTGTAAGGATTCAAATATTTAGCACTTCCCAGATATTTGGGGAATGTGGCAGGCAGGCGAGGGAGGAATATCTTGTGTAAGAAATGCTATTTTTTTTTCAGTTACATCATAGAAAGTGCAGGAGTTGAAAGTACATCAAATATTTTTGCCTTCAATCTATTAGTAGATTGTAAGGCTCATAAACAACTTTAGATTATTTGAGATACCTGTTAAAACACTTAAGCTTATCATCATTTATTTACAAATTTCTTTGCCCCACCATCTAGGACCTCCCCAAGGGCAGGCATAGTATTTTACTCACTTTTGTAACCGGTAATCGTAGTCCTTTTTTGGTATGTAATGGATTCATAAGAAATTTTTCCTGGTGGTCAAGACAGGTTGGTACTGGTACAATGACAGCCACATAGATCAATGGAATAGAATAGAAAATCCAGAAATCAGCCCATCTACCTATGGTCAATTGATTTTTGACAAAGAGATGAAATCAGTTAAGTGGGGAAATGACAACCTTTTTAACAAATGGTGCTAGCAGAATTGGAAGACTACCTATAGAAAACTCAAGCAAGATCCACACCACACTCCATACACAAAAACCAACTCAAAATGGATCACGGACCTAGGACTAAAACCAAGGACTATAAAGTTCATTAAAGAAAAACTTGGAAGATCTCCAGAAGTCCTAATATACAACATCTAAACAGTCTTCCAAGTATTCTGAAAAATCTACAACCAGGAGAGGATAAAATAGATGAATGGGATTTTCTAACAATCAACTCCCTATGTACATCTGAAACTTCTCCAACAGAGTAAAAAGGGAAGCCACAGACTGGGAAAAAAATATTTGGTAATGACATGTCAGATAAGGGACTTATATCTAGAATTTATAAAATACACAAGTACCAAAACAAGATAAAGGTAAATAACCCAATGTAAAAAATGGGCTCAGTATATGAATGGACACTTCACCAAGATGGCAAATAAACACATGAAGAAATGTTCAAAATCCCTAGCTCTAAGAGAGATGCAAATCAAAACAACTATGAGATACCATCTCACCCCAGTAAGAATAACAAAATTTAACATAGCAGCAAACAACAAATGCTGGTGAGGTTGCAGAGATACTGGAACCCATATTTACTGTTGGGGGAAGTGTAAAATGGTGCAACCACTGTGGAAGGCTGTATGGCGCTTTATCAAAAAGTTACAAATAGAAATACCATTTGACCCAGCAGTTCCTCTACTGGGAATATGCCCTAAAGAAAACATAACTGCCACTGAGGCAGATATATGCACACCCATTTTTATTGAGGCTTTGTCCACAATAGCAAAAAGTTGGAAACAACCTAAGTGCCCATCAACAAACAAATGGATAGAGAATCTCTGGTATATTCACACAGTGGAATACTATGCTGCATTGAAAAACAAGGAACTCATGTAATATTATTCAAAATGGGTGACCCTGGAGGACATTATGCTGAGTGAAATATCTCAGTCACAAAAAGACAAATACTGCATAGTGCCACTGTTGTAGAACAGGAGTGACATCAGAGTTGGGGTGAGACTGAGAAAAATTGGAGAAATAATGTATACTACATTGAAACAGATGAGGGAGAGAACAGTTTAAAAGCGATGTATGATTGGGTATTATGGTTATGACAAGGGTCTAGAATGACGGTTGCATAGTGGAGTGTACTTGAGGAGATGGGGAGGCAGGGATTGTATACCAATGAAATAATTTTTCTTTCACTTTTGAAAGAGAAGAGTGAACTAGGGGAGAGGCGTGGGCAGGGAGAAATGTGAATGAACAGAAATCCAAAATCTCTGTAAATAGTCATTAAAAAGAAAATAAAACTTTAAAAAAGAAATCTTTCCTAATTGAAATATTAAAGTCATTAATTAATTTTTAATTTCTTTTAAAATTTCAGCCTAATTTGATAGTTGTTGTTGTTGTTGTTATGTACCACAGAGTCAGATCCAACCCATATCTGACACTGCAGTGCTTCTTCAGAGGCCATAAATCACCCTGGTGGAGTTTACTCATCTTTCTTCCTCGGAGCTAGTGGATTTAAACCACATGCCTTCAAGATGGCAGTGCAGCGCCATTCAAAAATAAACATAACTTCTAAAGAGTATTAAGTGGGTAGCTTTTAGCAATAATAAAATCTGGTCAGTGAAGACTATATATGTAATTTAATTTCATAGTTAATAGTACTTAATTTTCAGATAGTGCCTGAGAGGATCATATTAGTTGCCAAAGTAAACTTGAGGACCATTTTCAGACTGTGATTTTTATGTCATTAAAATAAATTTAAATTTTAATTGCAGTTTTACTTTCTGAATTAAAAAAAATCAATAGCTAAGATTTTCCATTTAGTAAAAGACATTTAATTATCTGGTTTTGTACTGACTTTCTGTGCAGCAAATTATGCATTCAATAAGAGCAGATCATCCTTAAAACGAATTTTAATTTAGCCATTCAAGAGAAATAAATGTTTGGAGTTCAGGTCTCATTGCAGTAAGTCTGGAATTAACTCACAGCTGACCTTCCCATGGTTTTCAGAGGCTCTAAGTCAGTCACATGAGAGGAGATTGCCCATCTTTCTCCAATAGTGGGAGTGATGGATTCAAAACACTACAGAGGCTCAGCCTTTGGTTTTACAGTTCAGCTTTCTATGGATTATACAACTTTCAATTAACAATCCCAGTATGTTTACATAATTGAGTGGTTCTGGGGAGAAATGATATATTTAAGAGAACATGGTATAATTTACAAGAGAAGCAGCAGGTATGGCAGCGACTTCCTAAATAACATGCTTCCAGAAACCCTATGAACTTTGATAAATGTCTATAGTTGTAGAAGGGCTTCAGGCCTTTTGTTCATAGGGTCACTATTAGTCGTGCTCTACTCGAAGGCAATCAATAAGAAGATCATGTTGAGGGAGCTCTGATGGCCTAGTGGTAAGGAAGTGCACTGCAATCCCGAAGGCACATGGTTCTAACCCATCAATTGCTCTGCAGGAGAAAGATGAGCAGTCTCATCCTATGTTATTAACTGGGTCTGAAAATCCACTGGAGGGTCAGCAGTAGGTCCAATCGAACTCGATGGTATACAACAACAGAGCATGATAATATTTCTGATATTTGTTAGTTTTAATTTGGTGCCAGTGTCTAATTGTGTTAAATGCTTTAACACCTAGAATCTCAAGTGCCAAGATTAACAACTTCTCTCGATTGGAACCAACCCTTCACCTTGTGGGTGTGCAATTTGACCAGAATGTGGCCCAGAATATCATGACTGAAAAGCCAGGGGCGGCTACAAAACTCTTATATCAACTCTACATTGCTCTTCAAAAGAAGAAGAAGAGTGGAATGACCAGCTCAGAAATGCAAACCATGCAGCCTCTGACAAGTGTAAAACTCCAAAACCTGAAAAGTGAGGCTTTTCGAGAGGTGAGTACACAGAGGAATATGTGTGTCATAGTGGCCAAGAATCATCAACGATACTGCATTCTGAGAGAGGCCACCTGGGGAATCTGTCCTTTGAATATGGTCTTGATCTTTGTGGGTTTTATTTTAAGCTAATGCTTTGAATTCCCTTATCCTCTTTCTGTGTCTCACTCCACCCTTGGCTCTTCCCCCTTTACCCGCTGCCAATAGCTTATCTTGTAGTTTGTCCAAAAATCCTAAAACTTTGTCTTTCCCTCTTTTCCACTCCCACTCCTATCATATGAGAGTCATAAAGCGTCATATAGCCACTAACATGACTCCTTATCTTCAGGCTTTCTGCAAAGGGTTCATCAACTCTCGGACTAGTCTTCCGTGATACCATTTTCACTGCTCACAAACCATACCCTGAGTCTAATCCAGATATTCACTAATTCACTGAATGGTCTCAACTAATCTTGCTAACTTTATTTCTTTTTAATCTCTAACATAAATTCTTTCTTCTACATTGCAAAACAGCCTCTCCTTGAACATGACCTGTATATTCATGCTCTTTCCCTCTCACCCAAACACACTCTCTTCCTCTTTCTTCTGCCCAAAGCATGTCTTCTCTGTCTAGTTCCAGAAAGTCTTTCCAGTGCACATTGTTTCCTTCTTTGGAGCTCATGGAGTCAGGTGTTTTGGATCCCTATTCATTTGGGTATTAACTCTAGACCCCTAATATTGCTAGCTAACTGTTTATTATTAATTTGCCATATGGCCTCACAAGTATTTTGGCATCTCCTATTTGAGGATTATACCTTGCCTAAATGTTTTAATGTTGCTAAAGCTCATAAAATGTGTTTTGATTGGTACAATTTTTAGTTGGTACTTCTCTTCCGTTTCTATACTATTTCCTTATGGTAAGCAAACTTCATTGACTTTTTCAGACCCCTAAGATAATGCAGAATGCTTCACTGATTAAAAACAAAACAAAACAAAAAACTAGTTGCTGTGGAGCTAATTCTGACTCATTTTGTGATGCAATAATAGGGCAGAGCAGAACTGCCGCACCGGATTTCCAAGGCAGTAGTCTCTGAGGAAGAGTATTTAAAAGAAATAAAGTTTTTATTGAATCTATGAAGAAACAGTGACGTAGCAGATGTGATGGTCCCTTATCTTTTCATATTTGTTCATTTTTAATGGATGTTTTCTAGAGCCTGTTAGCAGAATTGGCCTAGTACCATTTAAAAGTTGAATTTAGAGTAGAATGAAAGTCACATAATTCAGTACTGGGCAAACTCACTTGCAAACTTTATTAACTTTGGAGCAGTCATTGAAAAAAAAAATTAGCCTTCATTTTTTTCCCTATAAAAATCAGTATAATTATTTCTGTCTGCCTCGGAGTTAGGCTTTTGTGTAGCATCCACAATAAAGTATACAAGGAAATGCTTTATAAGTTGTAAAGTGATCCACAATGGCAGATGCTACAGGAGGGTTTTATGCAGAGGCTTTTTGCTTGATGTTGGCCATGGATGTCTTTCAGAACCAGTCATAATTCACTTAAAAGTATTTCTTGAGCTCCTACTAGTTTTCTTTCAGATGGGTGTATATATTATGTCACTTGCTGTTTGCAACAGCCCCATGCATTGGGTACCTCCCATTTAACAACACAGGAAGTCTTAGCCTTCTTTGTTGCTGTTGTTAGTTGCCATCAAGTCAACTTCAACTTATAATGATTTCTTGAGTACAGAGTAAAATTGTTCCATAGAGTTTTCAAGATGGTTATATTTAAGAAGCAGGTTGCCAGGCCTGCTTCTCAAGGCACTTCTGAATCAGTTCAAAACACCAACTTTTTGGTTAATTGCTAGTTGAGCCCGTAGCCATTTGTGCCACCCAGGGAAACCCAGCTACCTTAGTTTCTATTTTAGAGAGAGCATTATGGTTCATTGAAATGACAGATGAGTAAAAGCCAGATTTCAGTGAGTTCAGGAACAATTTAGGAACGAAAAAGAGAGGCGTCCAAATTATTCTTGCAAGAAATACTGAGGTAAAGTAGAAGACAATGAAGAACAGTAGCCGGGAGGAGAGAAGCTCAAAGGAAACAAGGTTACTGATCTATTTGTTCCTGGATGTATAGACCAGGACATCTTGATGGTTGAGATAAAGAATGAAACACAGGAGATTAGCACTGGTGTGAAGCACATATCTGGGAAGGAAAGTCTCTAGGAGCGAAAAAAAGGAAGGTACAATCAGTACTTCAAGGTGTTTGTTGTTGTTGTTTGGTACCGGCAAGTCGTTTGACTCATAGTGACCCTTTGAAGAACTTTGAACTCTGTCTTATTCTGTGCCATCCTCACACCTCTTAACACACTTTAAGTTTAAGGGCATATATCTAATGCCATGTAGGGTAGATGCTGGTGTTTATTGCACCGTAATATTAGCAATGGCTAAAAGTCCTCGAAAGCACAGAATGATGTACCAAGCCTTATTTCAAATGAGTGCTTATATTAATTCGCCTGATGTTTACAACAGCCTCAAAAGAAGGTTCGATTATGATTCCCTTTTGTAGTAGACAATGAAACCAAGGCACAGAAGGTCTGGGTAATTTGTCTATGTTCCTATAGCTAGTAGGTTTGAGCTGAAACTCAAACCAAGTTCATCTTACCCATTAGGCTGTGTGATAATAACTGCTTGCTGAATTGGGATGTGTTGAAGTGGACAGGAAGTTAAAAGAACTCATTTTTCCATTGTTTCTTACAATGGAGATAATTTTTTGGATGAGAAGAGCAGGTATTCTTGTAGCCTAAGAACAGTGCAAGGGTTTTCACATGTTTTCCTAAGTAAATGATAGTCTCTACAGAAGTGTTTTTTTTTTAAAGCGAAGAAGAAAAATGATTAGTGCAATGATGCCATCGTATTTCCCCCGCCCCCTTTACTTTAAATAAGTCTTTAGTTTCTTTGGAAATTGCTTTTGGATGTAAAAGTTTTAGTGAGATACATTAGACACATTTTTCTGTAGCTGTCATTATAATCACCACTGAGAGTTCATTTTCTTGAGCTACTGCTCTTTCATTTCCAGTGAAAGTTTTCATGCTTCTTCATAATTTGTTAAAGAGTAACCTAAGTAATGAGAAGAATTTGAGTTCTTATGCTCACTCTTAGGTGGTAAAACTGAATTTCTTTTTTTAAAAAAAAATATTTCTCTGAAAATGTTATTTCTAAGGATACAGATATCATTCTTTGAAAATTAAACTCATTGCAAAAATAAATTAACTTGAAAGTGTATATGAGACTATTTTATAATAAGGAATTCATCTCCCTTTTTTGTTGCTTTCAATTAAAGATCTAAATGATTAATACGGGGCTTTCCTTTCTTTTAACCACCAAACACAGTAATTGATAGAAATTTTATGTTGCAGATATGTTTTATATGTGCTAATAATGACAATATGTTCCTTCTTTTCTAATGCCAGAATCTCTTGAAATGCTTTCTTCATTTAGAGACTTAGGAACCTGATACCACGTCAAACTGATTTCAATCTGATGAAAGTTAAAAACAGGTTTCAAGAAAAGTATAAACACATGGAAGAAGAATTTGCTCGTTTGCAATTTGAGAAGCAAGAAAGAGCTAAAAAACTCAAGGAAGCACAAAGATCTTTTAATATCGAAAAGGTTTTATAGAGCAATTTTTCTAGACTTTTATAAATATTTACAATATTTATAAGCGATTTTTGCCTATAGTACACATTGCATGAGCAACGTAGTTAAGTAAGCAATTTAGTTAAGATGTCTTAGGCTGGCCTCATGCCCTGCCTTTTCCATTTTCCCTTCTCCTTTTCCATCTTCTCAGCTCATTCTTTTCTATCTTCCCTCTTGTTAACTAACACTTTTCCTTAAGGCTGCCATTTCTGGAAGTGGCAGAACTACCATTCCCGGACGTGGTAGGTTGACTTGGTAGAAATTACTGTTTCACACACTTTAGTCATGGGAAGTTGTATTAGCTGCCCCAGCAGAGGCTTAAGAGCCTTGGTTACCATACAGGGAGACTGGGGTTGGAGGGGATTTTCTCTCTCTGTCCCCATCTTTACCACATCTTGTTCTCTCCCCTCTGCTCTCATTTCTTGCTTCCTGGCAGGGCTAGCTGACTCTCTTCCTTGCCTCTTTTCCCACCATCTTGGTTGTCTCTTTTCTGTTCCTGGTCTCTTTTCCTTTCAACCAACTCCCAGCCACATCTCAAATTTCTTGGAAAATCTTTAATGATATCTTATGCCTTTAAGGACATGATAGGATAAATGGTGTTCAGAATTATTAAAGACTTTTAAGAGAATTTCAGATGGCTGGGTATTTGGGATGTGTAAACTATAGGCAAAACTGTTCTTGTTCTTCTAGTGCACTATAAGAAGCTCTGGTGGTTTAGTGGTAAGGAGTTGCACTGCCAACATGAAGGCACAAAATTCGAATCCACCAGCTGCTCCAGGGGACAATGATGAGAAGTCTCCTCTTGTACAATTTATAGCCTTTGAAAACTCGCTGAAGCTGTGAGTCAGTTCTGGCTTGACACACATAACATTAACAGTGCACTATAAATGCTTTATAAAATTTGTATGTTGTAAATGATAAAAATTAATACATGCTGAATTTATTCAGCTAAATAAGAGATAATAGGACGAAGGAGAAAGAAATACAATTTCCTGTAGACAAGAGAGTGAAGGGTGAGAGATAAATTTGGAAGAGTTAATTATTTCAGTGCAGGCCTTCTCCTTGGAATTGTTTACCTAGGAGACAAACTCCTTGCCCTCAAGTAGGAACCAACTCACAGCTGAATCTCCACTGGGTTCCCAAATATATAAATCATGTGGGAAGAGATTGCCCATTTTTCTCTCTTGGAGCTGGTGGTGAATTCAGACTCCCAGAGAGGTGTGGCCTTTCATTTAAGCAGCCAGTTTTCCTACAAACTAGAGCTCCCTTTTGAAAATAATATTGAGAGCAAATGCTGAGAATCTAATTCATATGGAACAAGCATGTCTGACTGAAATGTGAGAAGTCTCTAAAGCAAGCTCTTTTAAAAAAGGAAATATGACACAATTAAATATTCTGTTATAAATTATATTAAAAATGGTTATGGGACTTACATAGGGCAAAGGGAAAACATTATGTCTTTTTATCTTGGGAAATAAAATTATAAACATATTACAGTGTTATTAAAAGGTACAATTTGGAAAGTGAAATGAAGATATTGTAGAAAATAAAACCAGGCTATTATGCCAAAAATGTTTTAATATACATTTTTTTACATTTTAAAATTATTTATAATTTCTGGGGGTTTTAATGCTATGTTGAAATCTCTTTATTTTTGGATGTAGCAAAAAATAGTTCTTTTTACTTCTCATATAAAATACTTTGTTAGCCACATCATTATTAGTTTTACGTGCTTCCTGTTACATAATTAAAAAAATATTTCGTCTGAGTTTTTACTTTTCTTTCACTTGGATCCTCCTACATATGTTCTATTTAAAATAGTTATTTCTACATACAGAAGAGATGATCCAATAAAAATATAACAAAATTTGATATTGATTCAGTCTTTGAGGTAATTCCTGAACTGGTAGGACCAAGGTTTTGGAGGCACTTCATTTTTGTTGGGTTCTTAAGAAGCTCACCAGGAGACCGTCTTTCAAATTGATTCTCCACTTCAGACTTCCAAAGATCAGACAGATCACAGGCTGAGTTTGTGCAATAATGACGCACTTTTATAGTTGTGTCACCCTTATCTTTTTCATGTTGTCATTGAAGAAACATAACTGGGGAATCCCAAGATTGTGTCTTAATTTAGTATCTGATTTTTTTTTAAATTTAGTTTGTTTATTTTTCATTTCAATGAACATCTACAGAGATTTTGGAATTCCATTCATTCATTGTTGCACCCTTCTTTCCGCACAACCCCCCCTCCCCCTTTGCTCCTCTCCTTGAAAAGCAAAAGAAAACAATCCATATTGGCACAATTCTGACACTCACGTCATTAGTTACTTGCTGGGTTCTGAAAATGCTGAGAGATAAGTTTAAAGTATGTATGTCTGTGAAGATGTTATGTTGCCTATTACTCTGATGAGCTTAATTACTCTTGTAATGGACTGTGCAGCATCGATTGGGCCGAAGACGTCAGAATGAAATAATGGCCAAAATCCAAGCAGCTATCATCCAGATTCCCAAACCGGCATCAAATCGTACTTTGAAAGCACTTGAGACCCAGAAGATGATGAAAAAGAAGAAAGAGGCAGAGGATGTTGCCAATGAGATTAAGACGGCATCAAATCGTACTTTGAAAGCACTTGAGACCCAGAAGATGATGAAAAAGAAGAAAGAGGCAGAGGTAAGGGGCAATCCTTTAATATTGTCATTTGTCTTAAAGAAAAAATGATCTTTCCTTGAAATATAGGAGGAACCTCCCACATTTTGTTTTATTTGATTATTTTTAATTGTAATTTGAATAAGATTTACAAAGCAAATTAATTTTTAATGTATATATCAACATTTTGTTCTTTTTATTTAATAACATTTTGATCTTTGACATTGATTTCAATATCCACAGTGTACTCACACCTCTCTCAATTCATTACAATTCTGATTTCTAGTAATTTTCTGTGTCTTCCCTCTCTTTAGTGATACTGTGCTGATCCTCACCTTACTGAACATTTTCTTTCCCATCATCTATTTTTCTATGTGCCTATTTCTATTTCTCTCCCTTCCCACTCCTGGTAACTATCCAAGAGTCATTCTATCTGTCTGTAAACCTTTCCTTAGTTTTTTGTAACAGTGTTCTCATACAATATTCACCCTTTTGTAACTGGCTTATTTCTCTTAGCATAATGTTCTCCAGATGAATCCAAGTTGGAAAACTCTGCTTTATGCATGTCTACTCCATTTTATTCTCTTACTGCTTCAAAACCAGAGGGTTATTTGATTGAGGGTGCAAAATTACTATTAAATAATTCTGGCCTTTGGTGTTGAGAAGAATCCCGAAGGTATTTCCAAAATAGGCCAGAACGGGTGATGTTGTCAATGGGTCATAGCTGCCATGAGTGCAACAGGCACTGTGAAGTCCTGTTACATGTAACTTCATATTTCATTCCTGCTCTATGCTTGCACTCCATTTCTCCTCACACTATTTTTATGAGTTCCAGATATGTTAAGTGACTTACTAGCAGTGTATTTAAATTTAAGATATCTGCATTAATGATATTCCACTAGACTACATGAACTATTACCATACCATACCATACCATACTATATCTCTTGATTCTATTTCATAGAGAAACAGTACTACATTTTTAAATTCATTGCTGAACTACATATAGTATGCAATGCCACAGTGATCATGAATGGTATTTTCTTGTATGACTAAGAAAAAGAATAATGTTGAGTATCTATCATGACAAGGCTCTCGATTAGGCACATCACAATATGTAATCTTTAGATACCTCTCTGAGTATTGTTTTCCCTCATTTTACAGAGAAGGAAGCTAACACTCAGAAAGTTGGCAGAGTTCATCTATGTTTAGTGTTCACAGTGCAAGAGACAAGACCTTATGACTGTTCATTTTATTGCATTTTATATCAATCCTCCTTTCTTTGCTTTTTAAATACTCTGTACATGATAAATAACAAAATACCTTATACATGGAATCTTAAAAAAAATACCAACTACAGAGTCTTCCCTTTGACCCCACTTAGATATTATATTTATTTTAGTTAATTAATGTTTATTAATATGGGTATATAATAAGGAGTGTTCAGCTCTATTAATTTTTAGAAGACAATGTATATAAAGAATGTAAATGGAATGTTTAAAATACTTGAGACAATGCTTTAAAGAAAAGTAATTTATTTATAAATCACGTATATATATACTTATCCTCTTAATTTTTAAAAATTGAAAGTATGTCTCCTGATACCTGATAGTAATCATTATCATTAAATGTCCTTTGGTACTTTCAGAACTAGAGCTAGAAATGAGTGATTTAATTTAGGTACTTTTCATATTTTTATAGGCATTTTTAGCCCAACCTAAAAGTAACAAGAATTAGACAATTTATTAGGATATTCTAGAGTGCAAACTTTCCACATTTTGCTGTCTAATTGACTAGAATCAGTAATGTATGGGACCTCATAAACATGAATGGATACAGTAAATTTTCAATGATTTTTAAAAACAGATAACTGACCATGGATTTTCTTTAAAGGATGTTGCCAATGAGATTAAGAAGTTTGAAGCATTAGTGAAAAAGGACCTCCAGGCAAAAGAAAGGTAGGCTATAAACTATTCTAGTAATCACAACTCTTCTACACATAACTTGTGAATATTTAGATATATTTTGTCTGGAATCTTTCATTTTGCAGAATCTTCATTAAGAGGATATATAAGAGAGGGTAAATGAGATGAAGTTCAGATTAATTACCCATTAATTACTTCTATAAAGAGAGGGAAGTGGCTATTATTAATAGGTAATTTCTCTACACAATGCCTACTGTTTTAAGTTCACACTTACTTTTATAACGTTTGCTAAAATTATTTTGAACTACTAATAATTTCACCACCCACATGGTTCTAACTCACAGCAATCTCATGGACAGTAGAAAGAAGCACTGCCCAACTGACCTTCCACCATCCTCACCATTGCTGTTGTACTTGAGCCCATTGGTCCGGCCACAGTGCCAGTCCATCTCCTCTCCCTCCCTTCTCCTCCCCCACCTCTCCCTTCTCCCACCCCTCGCCCTCCTTCCTCCCCCTCTCCCTCTCCTTCCCCCTCTCTCTTGTTCTTTAGCTCTCACTCGGGCTCTTGCTTACTCACTCTCTGTCATGAGGTAGGAGTCATTGATTAATTGAAAGTTATCAACTAGTATTATGTATATATTAGAGCAAATTGAGGGGTTTTTTTTGTATTATTAAATTAAAAATTCCCAAAATCTACTCATCTATGGTTATGGAATACTAAATAAATTTCTGCTAAAGGGGGAAAGTAGACAAAGATACATATCAGTTCTGTGCTAATCTGTGAGGGAAGAGAGAAATGGAGTCAAATATGGAAAAATGAAAGGGTGATGTTGGCAGAGAATATTGAATATACTGAGGATGGCGAAAAGAAAAGAGTAAGTCTGTATGGGAAGAAGTCTAACCAGAATGGTACTTAGAAGGAACAATACTAAGTTGTCTTCCATACTTTGGTCATGTTATCGGGGACAAAGGGGAGTAAGCCCCTAGGGAAAGACATCATGTCTGATAGATGGTAAGCACAGAAGTAGAAGACTCTCAATGAGCTAGCTTGACATAGTGGCTACAACAATAGGCTTTAGCACAGCAGTGATGATAAGGATGGTGCAAGAAGCACAGTATTTAGTTCTGTTATACATTGGATCGCTGTGAATTTAAGTGATGCTATAGCACCTTTCAACAAGGAAAGAATTGGGGAGGGAGTCAGGTACGGAAAGAAAATCAAACGCCAAGGAATGTACATACATACATGACATACTTTACTCTTTCTACTACCCTTTTCTGAAATCTTCTTCTCAGATTTATCACCATTTCCCCTGAACCCTAAATATAAGTTTAGCCAAGTCTAGTCACCCATGTAGCTGCCATAAACCCTAGCACACACTCCCTTACTTGGCTCTTGAGATCACCCATTGTCTTCCAGCTCTCTCACTCATTTCACTGGGAAACATTCCAGTGTGTTTCATAGATGGTGTCTTTCACAATGACCATTTGGTTGTTTAAAATATTAAAGTATTTTGGAATTTTTCTTTTTTTTTTACTTTGGTATTTATTGGTGAATAACAGTCTCTGTAGTTTTACTAGACTCCTTCAAATTTTAAACAATTTAGCAACCATAGAGTTAGGATATACAATATGGTCTATATTATAAATATGCGATCATTGCTTCATTGAACACCAACTATCCAAGAGTCTTTCTGTACATATGATAATTAGTGACTATATAATCATTAGATATCTTAATTGTGTTTCTGTGCCTTTTGAATAAGACTGTAAATTATGGTCTTAATTAAATACATTTATTATGCATAAATTTAAAAACAAAATTTAGTTATAATGTGACAGTTGCCTGTTTTTTCTTGGCAAGTAAGTTTGGAAATGTGCTAATATTTTATGCAGTGTTGTATCTGTTTTCCTCTCAAAGAAATGTGCAGATGAGAATTGACTGATTCTCATACATAAAGATATATCTTCTAATGTTAAATTTTGAGTGAATATATTCATTCTAAGCCACTATTGTTTTTTCATTACATTGAATATGTCTGCTTTATGGTGGAAAATTACCAAGTTCCTCATGATTCTGTAGAAATCTGGACATGCGACAGAGCAAGAGCATTGCATATATCTTCTCCCTTATGTCCAGAACTTTGATGCTAGGCCAACTCAGACCTGTGGGTGTGAAAGTGGCATGATGGCATGATTAGCGAAGGTCATAGTTCATCTGTGAGCCAGCATGTTGTTCTAAGCAGTCAGAAATTCATCTGGGAGCTTGTTGAGGTACTTGAATTTTCAAGAATGAGAAGATGGCACCACCATTAGATGTCCTATCTAGCATCTTGACATTAGTACACACATCTCTTTCAGAGATGTGCCTTCTATGATCATTGAGTAATCAAATTTGTGCTTGTTACTGTCTTAAACACAGACAGTCAAGAGGATTACAGGAGAAAGAGGGAGTGGAATGATGGATTGGGGTAGGAGGGGGAAGATGGTTCAAAGGAAAGAACCTCTAGGTAAAGATCATTAGAATTAAAACAACAAAGCTTTAAGTTGGAAAGGTTATACAGGAGACTTCACAGAGAAGAGGGGCTAGAAATTTAGTGAAGCAAATGGAACCAACTTATTAATAAATGATGGATGGTGTCACATTGGTGATCTGATATTTTCTTTAATGTTTGTATTAATAAGTATTATTAACTCAAGCAAGCCTTCTCCTCCTGTCTTTCTCCATATGCTACCACATTGCTTCTTTTAATCTAAGAGAAAGTTTATTGTTCTTAGTGCATCCAAGACCTCTTTAGATACAGCTGGCCAGATGACTTCTGATTTGTTAAACACTTACTCGGACGATGAGTACATTAAAAAAATTCAGAA